GAAAGTCAAGGGGCTCAGACAAACTGGAAATGTTTCTCCCGTTCTTTCCCCTCTTGGAAATTTGAAAAATTGGATGAGTGTGTCCCCCTATATTCTTTACATTAAGGTGACCATATGTTTTGGTTAGCCCAGGACTAATCCAGCTTATTCCTGTTGTCCCAGCATAATTATTAATAGTATTCCCTTTTACTCTCAAAAGTGGACAGTACATTATACGGTCATCCTAATTACATCTTTCTTAAGATGGAGCAACCCAAATGGCATTCAGTATTCTAAGAATGTTCAAAACCTTTTAATATAAGGGCTGCTCTCCCATCTCCACAACTGCTATGCCTTTCTAACATTGCCTGTACCTACCTGTGGGGACCCCATAATTTGGAACCTTGAGCCTATTTGTTTTATGCTCAGCCAACCTTTACCACTTTGGCTGTATATTTGTCTCCTTCCTGAATGGGGGGAAATAGCCTCACAATAGGCTATTTCCATGCTAGGCTATATCTGACTTACATTGGTATTCTCCACAGTGCTTTCCACAGAGTAGATGCTCAAAAGGGGATAATAATAATAATATTTTAAATAGAAGTTTTTGTGGTTCAAGATATTCTCTGCATTGTGCTGAACATTTAAGATCTTCTAGGAAAACCTTACAATTTCTAAAACTTGCCCTTTCCTCCCCAGTCTTCTGATATTCAGAACTCAACTTTATCTTTATACTGTATCTGATGGTTTAATTGATGTACATATTTATCTTCCATTCAAATAAAATAATTGGTGTTTTGGTTGAATAGTTATCTTAAAAATACAACATCAAGAGTCCATTTTACTCTCAACTCACCCCTTTTCTCTTGTGATGAAAGAAAGATTAAATTTTAGTAAAGGCATTTTTTACTAAAATCTATTGAATGTTGATGTCATTTTGGAGCTTAGAGAATGATAAAAGAAAATTATCAACTGAATAGAGCTCTACAATGAAAAAACAATTGTAATTCATATATTTAAATAAGAAAAATCCTATTTTGGGAAGAGGAAAGAAAGAAAGATAAATTTATAGGCTTTAGAACCAACCAGCTGTTTGATATGCCAGAATAGTTTTGCCGTTTGAATCAACTTTTGGGGATAATGCTTTAGCTTCTAACAGAAAAATATGGTTAGGTCTTTGCTATCTCAAAAGTGAATAAACGCATTTTTTCTTGACCCTACTTCTTCCCGTAGTTCTCACACTATCTTTTTCACAACCAAGTTTCAAAAAAGAAATAAGAGCCATCTCTTCTTAAGGACACCACCTCCCGTTTCACTCTTCAGTACTACAGTACGCTGACTTTTGCCCTCTACCTTTTCAGTGAAACTGCTTTTCTTAAGGTTACCAGTAACCTTCTCATTGCCAAATTTGGTGGATTCTTTTTAGCCCTTATCTTTAGTCCCTACAGCTTTACAAAGCATTTGTTAGTGTTGACCATGCTCTCCTATTCTATCTTCTTTGACACCATTTCCTCTATTCTTACTTTCTCCGTCTGCTCTTTAAATTGTTTTAATGCTGCTAAGGTTCTATTCTCTACCTTTTCTATTCATAATTTATCTAGGTAATCTTGTCTAATGCCATAGCTTTAACTACAGTATCACCCCAATCCTTATCTTCCTATATTTTTCTTTTCAGGATTAGGTTTATATTTCCAATAGATTGTTAGATATCTCTACGAGGTATTGCACAGGCCCCTCAAATGTAAGACCTCCCAAACTGAGCTAAATCTTCTGTATACCTTCTGTTCTCGCCCTCAGCAAATGACATCACATCCTTCCAGTTCCTTGAGCCAAACACTGGTTATCATCCTCAACTTTTTCCTCACCTTATCCTCTTCATTGCAGTTAACTACCAAGTTCTATTATTTCTGACTTTAAAAGACCTGTCATCTCTTGAAAGTCCACTGATGCTAGGCACTACACTAGGCATTTTTTACATATTATCTGTTTGCTAAATGCGTTTAAATCCAAATTAATACCTCGTTCCTATTCCCCTGGCTATTTTCATAGTAAGTATTCAGTAAATATTTGATAGTGTGTCATTTTCATGCCAGAAGGGCCGTTAGCCTGGGAATCATCTTGGCCTCTTCCTTTCTTTTCTTCCTCAATCTTCATGTCATTGAGTCCTATTACTTTGGCTTCCTTGTCTCTTTTATCCATTCTTTCTCTATTCCCACTACCACTGCTTTAGTTCCAGACTTCACAATTTCTTATCTAGGTTATTAATGATTTTCTTGTTTGTCTGCCTTTATTCTCATTCCACTCCATCTGTTTCATCCTCTATTACTACTGCCCATAATCTTTCTCAAATAAATAAATTTAATCATGTCACAGTCGAGCTTAATCAGTTCCATCATCATCAAAATAAAGATCAAACTCCTTAACACAGCACTCCAGGAATGTGATTTGGTGCTTATAAGACAAGCACCTTGCATACAACCTTCACTCCAACCCTATCAAATTATTTGTAATTACTGAAAATGCCAAGCATTCTTAACACCTCCATGCTCTTTGGTCTGTCTGGAATGGTCTGCCTCTCCCCAACCCCTACTCATCCTTTAAGACATCACCCTCTTTAAAAGGCTTTCCTGATAGCTACTCTTACCAGGCAATTGGTGTCATTCCTCTGCATTCCCCAAGATATCTCGTCTTTATCTTCGTTATATGGTTTGTCTCTTCTGTCTTCCTGTTTAGACTATGAACTCCTTGAGGTCAAGAACTGTATTCTTTTTCTAACTTTTATTTTTTGCATAGGGAAGAAGGAGGGAAGAAGAAGAGAAGGAAGGAAAAATAGGAAGAAAAAAGGGAAGGAAATTAGTGAATGAACTGACCCACAGCATAGTGTATAAAATTGCTTGGTATTTTAGTCTTTCTTTTATAACCTTTCTTTAAATGTGCAAATAATAACTACTTCTTTATTTGCATTAATCTGCCCTGCAGAAAACTGGCTAATGATATCACTGGTAAGGGTTTAAAGTGATTACTAAATAACCCAGAAGGTAAATTGCCAATTTGTTTACTCTCCTAAAGAGAGGGCTATACTTTATCTGTTAGTTGCCAATTGCTTTAAGTGCTAACTAAAATGCTGAATGAACTTCCAGGTTAACACTGAAATATATTTATGTTGATCCTTTATCCTTATTAAGTATTAATACGTCCTTTTTTGTGAATTTTTCGGATATCAAATGGAATGTTTCAGCTATCTCTATAGTTCCTTCAATTCTCCAAGCTTCTTTAAAGACAAAGCATAAATCCACTTGTGGTGCAGTTGCAGAATTCATCCTTACACAGCACTATTCAGTTCCCATGCTATTTCAAGAAAATTTCTATTACAGAAAAAAATCTCTTTTGTGGAAGATCCTTAATGATAAGGCTTTGGTAATATTATTATAGAGCATTTTTTACAGATATAATCTAACAAATACTCTTATCCACGTAACAGTTGGTTGATCATAAAATATTGTACCTATTTAATTGATGATTGTTTGCTTTGTAGCTGTGGAGGATCGAAGTGAACTGAGGTGTACCTCAGTTCTTCTCAGTTGTTTTGTTCTGTTTTCACATAGTAGTTACTTTTCAACTATTCTCATCTTTTCTACCTCAGACATTTCAACGAGGTCCTTCAAAGGAAATCCACAACAACTCACCAAGCTTCAAAACCACCAATCAATATGTGTATACACAGGCAGAAAAACATTCTGGAGAAAGGGGGTGGAGGTGATTCAGAGCTTTTCATCAAGAGGCTGGTCATTCTGTTCTCTCCTTTTGTTCTGAATGTGGAATAATAATTTTTCCTAGAGCATAGCAGTTTGTCTAGCTTGTCAGGTTCATTATAATGTAATTTTTACTTGCAAAGTCAATATATCATAATTGCAGCTAAGTGATATAAAATTAGTAACTCTTTTGATATATTCTAAGCCTATTTGTTATTTAGGATACATCGTTTGTGTGTGTGTGTGTGTGTGTGTGTGTGTTTCAGCATAGCAGAAAAATACTCTAAAAGAAATTGAAAATAAAAGTGCAGGTCATCATACTGTACAACTGTGGGTTTTTAAAAAAATCTTTCTTGCTAGGCTCCTATGTGTAACTGATAGCACTAAAACCACCTGCCAGGAACATTCTTGCCAACTTAATCCATGTCTGACTAATAAAATGATTCTTCAGAAGCTTACCTTGGAAAACAGAGAGGGAGGGAAAAGAAAATTCTTTCTTGACGAGGTCAGTGTATGTTGGAAAGACCAGAAATTTTTTTTTTTTTAAACTATCAGAAATTCAACTACCCTCAGTTTTTCTGGTTGTATTTTATTGTCAGTTACTTGGAATAAATAATATATAGTAATCCTGTATAAGATAGATCTTTGTTACCATACACAAATAAAGATTCTATACTAGGCACTGTGGTAGTTACATAAATTTTCCTTCAGATACTCAGATAAAGTTAATGCCAGGGAAAGTAGGTATTTTCTTAAGTTTTAAGCAAATCTTGGTTGCCCTCTTGAAATGGCAAAAATCCAAGGCTGGACTTTCCTTTGGGGAGAAGTGGGTCAGAATGTGATAGGAGAAATAATTGACAACTCTTATGTATCACGGTGAAAAACTTAACAAGCAGCTGCTGCCTGTGTTAGGGTGGGGTAAGAGTGTCTCACGGCAGCATAGTCAAGCTTTTTAAATGAAAAAAATATACCAGACGATTTTTAAGATAATTAGCATTTTTATGGCTTATGATTCAGATAAACACCTTTGAGTTTAATGTCATCTTTTGTTCTGGGCTTCTAATTACTTGCTGAGACACTCACTGCCTATTGAAGAAGCCACTCAGACTCAAACTATGTTTGTTCTTTGAAAGTGAGCCCTCAGCTTTCTGTTTGTCTCCCAAATATTGGTATAATGAAATAAAAGATACTTAAATTCACTCATTGGTGAATTCTTTTCTGTTAGTTTTGAATTTGGCATTTCACTCAATTCTTTTTTTTTATTTACAGAACTTCCTTATGGCTGGGAGAAAATAGAGGACCCACAGTATGGGACATACTATGTTGAGTAAGTTTGTTACCTCAGTTAATATTCTCCCAAATGTTTCTCTTTCATTATTCAGCTTTGGGGAATACTGAATACAGCACAGTAATGCTTCTGCAGTCCAGCTTTCAGGTTTTTCCACTAGGGGAATGAGAAGATAGGGATAGTGAGCATTTACTTCACTGACTCTGGGCTCCCTTGAAGTTGGCTTTGAAGTAAATATAGAGAGCTAGAGAGAAGTTGCCCAGCTGATTAATAGCTGGAGATGTTATCATTACTCCTACAGCCTCTAAAGAGAAAAGTAGTAGATAGAAAACTGTGAAATGAGGGCACTGGACTAGATGAACTGTTAAGGTCACTTCCAGCACTATAGCTGTGTGGTTCTGAAAGAACTGTAAGGGCAGTGTACCAGAATGATCCGAAGTTTTGAAGTATATGATTGAAAGTGTTCTCTTGTTTGAGGAGTTAATCAAGGAAAACTTAATATTCTTTTGGGGGGTGAAAGTTGCTTCCTAAACAGCTGTTATAGTTAAATTTAAACATAAGTATATGTTGGAGTGGAGCACCAAACACCTGTCGATGATAGTCGGAGAAATTAGGATAACGTCAACTTCTAATTTTTCTTTCCCTTTTCTTCATTTGTCTAATTGCTACATGGGTTTCACCATTGGGGTTGCTTTCTTTCCAGATACTATAGATAGAATTTTGACCTCAGGCATATAGTACTAGGCAAATAATTGCATCAGAAATGTTACTATTTACCTGGAAACTAGGAGTCTGAACCAACGCCTAGGTAGTGAAGACAAAATGATATTATTACCTAGAAAAATAGCAAACATGAGAATCTTCTAGTTTTGTGATTGCTTATTAATTTTTCATCATTGGTCTCGTAAAGTAAGTAACTCTGAGTCCTGTTGTAACTCTAGTCTTTATTCTAATGTGTAGGTTGTTATTGGAGTCATTGTGGTTAGGGAGATATTTGGAATGATTTCTTAAAATCTAACTGTACCCTAAGAAAACAGCTCAGTTAGTTTGACCCTTAGGCATATAACTTCACAGTGTCGATATTTTGGTTCCATTGAAAGGCTATGCTAATTTTATTTCCATTTTGTTATTTAATATTTTCCTGATACTATGATGTGAAAAGTATACAGCAACTCTTTTGTTATTTTTTTAAAATAACATTTTTAAAAAATTTTTTTTATTTAAAAAAAATTTTTTTTAAATAAAGAAAGAAAGAACCATTTTTCATGTCAAAGGAATATTTGAAGGCCAACTGAAAAGGTTTTGTGGGATTTTTTTTTCCCTTGTAGTTTAGTCTATTTAAATTGGGCTTCAATCGACTATTATTTGCCATTGACACTGCTGAATATTTCTGAGATAATAATACTCATTCACTTATTGTCCATTCCAAGTGAATTTGAATACATGGTCAAGAGGTGAAAGTTATTTGCCTGTTATAAAATCTTGGGCTAAATGATCTGGTTCCCATTCAGCAAAGATATAATATTGAAGCAACTTTAGGGTAAATCCTGAAGTGACCTGCTCCCAGTTGTCATGGAGGTATGTGAAATAGTCTGAATTAGAAGCAACAGCAGCAGCAGTGACATGATTTTGTATGATTGTTCCCAGAATGAGCTCATTTTATAGGAGGGTAATTTATTAGATTAAGAAAGAGCAGACTGTACTCAGGATGCACAATAGTATGGAGTCAGCTGAGCTGTGGAGTGTGGCTTGATTCCCAGATTAGTTAGGTTTTGAATCTCGACCATAGTAATCTGCAGTGAGTTTACTGATGGAGATAAAAAGCTGTTACTTGAATGGCTACTCTTTGGCTCTCTTCATTTGTCAAACCAGATGGCACAATGATTGCTCTTGGCAGGAGTCTTGTAGTAGTAACACCAACTGCAATGGCAGTTTTTCTTTGTAAGTATTTATTTTAGAGGATGAGATTCTGAAATGGATTAATCTATTTTTGAAAATAAAATTATTCCAAAAATTTAATGGCAAGCCTTTCATAAGAATGCTTGTATATTTAGAAATGTTGTCTTATTGTATTGCATTAAGTGTCTTGATGCACTTGGGTGGCAAAGTCAAAATATGCATCTGCTTTAATATCTCCAGCTCTTCATGAAAGAATAATGATTTGTTTGTTGAGATGAATTTTAAAAATCCATATATTATACACAAAATTTTAATATAGGTGAGATTCCAAGTATTATATATTTAATCACGCTTGTTTGCTACCCTTGTTTAATTTTTCTGATAATCTTTAGTATTCTCCTCTCTTACTTCCCATAGCTAGTTATATGGAAAACAAAATCTGTTACATCTTAATAATATTGTGGGTATAAGTAACTAAGTGAAAAGGAGAGTGTTTTTACTTTTTTGTTTTGTTTTTTGGGTGGCATTTAATCTGAGTAGTCTTAAGGTGACAGATGCTATTACTCTCTTTACTAAAATCTTATATTCTTTTGTCAAAGAATTTTTAGGAAAAGGATTACTCATTTGCATACTTCTACTCTTTTCTCCCACACATTACAGAGAGTATAAATACAAATTACTGCTTTTTATGTTCTAATGCCTGGGTGGCAAAGTGAATCATTCTAGCTGATGACGTTCAAGTGAGCCAAGGTTCTTTCTAAACAGGTTTATTCTTTTCTAAGTGTCAGTTTCTAGTTTTATTTTTTCAAGAATATGTAAAATGTCAGTACCTAATAAATAATAATAAAAAAAAAGGTACCTAACTTCACAACAAAGATCTTCATTTTCACAGAGGTTTAAACAGTTAACTCAATTGATGAGGTGCCTCTCATGTGAAGTAGAAGCATACTTAAGTTTTAGTGAAATTGGAACCCAAAGAATGTCAAGTAGAACTTGCCATATTTAGAGCTCTGAAACTAAAGAACCACATATGTTGCAGGGTTAATAATGCACTAGAAGCCTAAACAACAAAGACAAAGCTAGTATACTTTGCTGTGAGGGTTTCTTTTTTTTGGCCCCTGCTGCCCCCTCCTCCACCACCACCGTTAACATTCACAAATGGCAAAGTAATTATCCAAGTTGTATGACTATTTATATGTAGATTTTGTAATATTCAGCTGATCTAAAGACAATCATAATCTGAAATTCTCATAATCTGATGTGTAATTGTTGGTATTCACTAATGTCACTTCTTGTTAAAATGGATGCTACTGGAAAATGCATGTCATTTAGCTGAAATATATTTGGACTATGGAAGTGCTAGAATATAATTCCTATGGCTTCTGTAGTAGACCTATTTGTGGTCTTAAACATCTTTTGTACAATAGTTGCATTCTTAACCAACTTCCACTTAACTGACTTCCCAGAATAACCATTACGCATAGTATATTGACTACTATTGGCTAATCTCCAACCCTCTTAGTTTCCCTGTGCTCTTCTGCTTTCCTCCACAGACTTGAATGCTTTCCAAGAGTCAGTTGTGAATGTTCCCAAATCAGAAATACCAGTTAAACTTGTATTGTAATTACATAATTCATTTAATCATTATATAATTATGAAGAAATTTAAATTAGAAAGAGTAGTTCTGTGATACAGTTTGATAAAAGCAAATCTCTTTTTATTTGCTGCTGAATTGATATGGGTGAGTCAGTTGGAAAAGTAATAGTAAAATTCTAGAAAACTTCTGTACTCAGATTTCTTCAAAAATGTCTTTACAGTTACTTCATCTTAGAGAAACTTAAATTAAAACCCTCCTACCATTAACTGTCTTTTAAAAAAAATTAACTGATCAGTTACCAACAGTTCTGTTGCATTAGATATGAGGCCGTCTACTACAGTTTTGAAAACTGTTAATCGCCATATTGGGTACATTTATGAAGACACTCTAGTGAATGCTTCAGCAGCTTTGACTTGTAGGCATCTTCTGTGGGCCTTTCTTTAGTTGCCAAAAAGCCCTTCCACTGCGATCTTTCAGCTTCTCTGTGTTCCGTAGCCTAATGATACATATTTGTCTCTTAAACTGTGATGATGGAATGGCGTAATAGTCTATTTAAAAATAATCTCTTTCATCTTAAACTGAAATGCATATTTTTCTACATTTTACAGTCATCTTAACCAGAAAACCCAGTTTGAAAATCCAGTGGAGGAAGCCAAAAGGAAAAAGCAGTTAGGACAGGCTGATACTGGGTCTTCAAAACCAGGTAGAACTTTTTCCTCGGTCTTCTCTTCTAAGAATAACTTGTGAGATTTATATACTGAATTAATAAAAATGAGTTTGACCTTTTTACTGTTGGGGCTTTGAAGTTAAACAGAGAATGTCTGATTTTTGTCACTGTAAAGATATAATTAATTTTAATAAAACATCTGAACATTTAGAGAATACTGAGATTTTTCTCATACCTCTTATATAGAAAGTATGAAATTGTTGGGACAAGGGATTAAATAGCTTTGTTATTGGTTTGAGGTTTTGATTTGAAGATTTGATTATTTCCTAATGTTTAAGGACAGGCCAATATTAGATCTCTAGTTCAGTATGAACTTCTCCCAAGTTAATTGCTTAGTCTAATGTCAGTTCTAATGTCTAATGTCTAATTCAGGATTCTTCATTAACTATTATGAACAAATGCTAAATAAATCCACCGTATTATTTGCCTACATCATTGATTCTCAAGTGGGATTGTGAGGTATTAGTAATATCAAGATTATTTGGGGAACATTTTTAAAATACATAGGTCCTGAGATTTTGATGAGCCCAGCTATGGGTATTTTGAAAAAGTTGCCTAGGTATTTCTTACATTCTACTCATTCCTCCCATCTCCTCTTCCTTCTCCATCTCTCGTTAATAACCAGGGATCTATATGGTCATATTGCAGTAATCAAGTAGATGCCCTACTTCTATTGCCCATGAGAGAAACAGTTCTGTTTTTTTTTTGGTGACTAAGATTGGCCCTGAGCTGACATCCATTGCCAATCTTCCTCTTTTGCTTGAGGAAGATAGTCCCTGAGCTAACATCTGTGCCCATCTTGCTCTATGTTGTATATGGGCTGCCTCCACAGCATGGCTTGATGAGCAGTGCATAGGTCCGTGACCAGGATCTGAACCTGTGAAACCCGGGCCACCGAAGTAGAGCGTACGAACTTAACCACTACGCCACTGGGCCGGCCCCAACAGTTCTTTCTTATAGCTACTCTTCAAAAACGTAGTCCCCTCCCTTAAGTTTTGCATTTGATTTAGCAAACATTTATAGTTCAACAAATATTTTTGCCCAGTGCAAATATATGCCCAGTGCTTTACTAAGCACATGGTATTCAAAAATGATTAGGAGTAAGACAGGTCTTGCCCTCAAGAGTTCACATTCTAGTATAGGAAACTAATTGTTAAAATATATGGTGATAGATGCCATCCTAGAATAGTAGTTAAATGTGCAGTGGGTAGAGCAGGTTTGAATCCCAGCTGTGTAACCTTGAATGAGTTCCCTAAACTCTTAGTGCCTCTGATTCCTCATCTATAAAATAGGAATAATAATAGTACTTAACCTCTTAAGGTGGTTCTGAGTATGCAAAATAACACAGGCAAAGTGCTTACAATGGTCTCTGGCACATGGTGAGCAATAAATGATAGCTCTCATTGTTATTAATAGAGATATACAAGGTACAGAGGTGGCGTAAAGGAGAGAGTGCTCAACTGTGCTTTGGTGGAGATGGTCAAGGGGGCAGGGAAACTTTCAAAGCAGAGGACAACACATTTGAACTGGGTCTTGAAGTGTCAGGAAGAGTTAAATCAGACAGGTAATAATTTTACAGGAGCAAGAAGGCATACCAGCTAGAAGGAACAGAATGTATAAAATCATAAATGCATAAAATGGTGTCCAGGGGCCAAAGAGCAGATAGGAATGGCCAGAGCATTGAGTATTTTTGGGGTACTAACAAGAGATGAGGTTGTAGGGATAGGCAGCCATGAGAAGAAATGAGTTTCAAAAAGAAGTTGAGTATTTGTGTCACATGTTGCTGAAAAGTCAAGAAAAGTAAAAATCAAAAAGCATACATTGGATTTGACAATACAGAGGTCATTTGTCACTCTAGCAAGAGCAAGTGGAGAGTGAAGCAAAACTGCAGTGGAATGAAGAGAGAATGGGAGGTGAAGAAGTAGAGACAATAGGTATAGCTGACTCTTTTTTTTTTTTTTTATAATTTTATTTATTTATTTTTCCCCCAAAGCCCCAGTAGATAGCTGTATGTCATAGTTGCACATCCTTCTAGTTGCTGTATGTGGGACACGGCCTCAGCTTGGCCAGAGAAGCGGTGCGTCGGTGCACGCCCGGGATCCGAACCCCGGCTGCCAACAGTGGAGTGCGCTCACTTAACCGCTAAGCCACGGGGCGGCCCCTAGCCGCCTCTTTTGATTGTTGATTTTTTTTTTTTTTAGTGTCAAGTGCTTTTATTTTGTCGATATTTCCAGGGAAGCCCTACCTCTTAAGGGAGCTGTTCACATACTGCACAATCTGTACAGCCATATGGGGCAGCCCCAAGGATTGCTCTGTTCTGACAACAAGCTTTAATGCATACCTCTTAGAACACTTTGCTAAGAGGGGCAGCAGCAGATATACACAGATAACTCTGGGCTTGATACTAGTCCTGAGTGTGGGCTAAGTATGAAACAAGTCACCCTTGTTAATTTAAGTCATTAGGGAAATGAGCATCAAAACCTCAGTGAGATACCACTCCATGCCCACTAGAATGGCTATAACCAAAAACGCAGACAATAACAAGTGTTGACAAGGATATAGAGAAATTAGAACCCTCCTACATTGCTGGTGGAAACGTAAAATGGTGCAGCCACTTTGGAAAAGTTTGGCAATTCTTCAAAATGTTAAGTATAGTTACTAGTATATGTTTATGGCAACTGCTGCAATTCCACCCATAGCATATACCTAAGAGGAGTGAAAATATGTGCCCACACAAAACCTTGTATGTGAATGTTCATAGCAACATTATTCATAATAGCCAAAAAGTGAAAACAACCCAAATGCATCATTTTGACTTCATATAAAGGATTCTTTGGAGTGAGAAAAAGTAAGTACAAACAAGGCAATGAAGAGGAGATAAAGTAGGTGCTTTTACCTTTCAAATAACATAGAAGAGTCCTATAAAAGAGAAATGATTCATTAGCTAAGCTTTTTTCAGTGATGTAGCTTATGAATTTAAATTCTAACTGTTCCATAACATTAGATTCTCTGTAATTTTCTTTCTTTTATAGTTTGTTGTATGTAAGTTATATAGACTATCTTGAAGATAGTCTTTGAGGGCTGTATTCATTTAATTATTTTTGTTCTCAAACCCATTTCTCATTTTGGCACAGATGTGGAAAAATCACACTTTACTCGAGATCCATCCCAGCTTAAAGGCATCCTTGTTCGAGCATCATTGAAAAAAAGCACAATGGGATTTGGTTTTACCATTATTGGTGGAGATAGGCCTGATGAGTTCCTACAAGTAAAAAATGTACTGAAAGATGGTCCTGCAGCTCAGGATGGGAAAATTGCACCAGGTAACAAATTTTTCAGAATTACCTAAGAGTATTAATACTATAACAAAAATTATAGTGAAAAGGTTTTGTATATGTATTGTATATGTAATTTATATATAATAAATATATATTTATATATATAGTGACTATATATAAATATTATATCTAATACATATATATGTACATACATGATAACTATATATATATTATTTATATATATAAAGAGAGAGAGAGATAACTAAATTATATGACCGAAGAGGGAGATTCCTGTATTAAAATAGTTTATCCTCTAAATTTAAATGCATACTGGTTTTGGGGGAAGGCCATTTTTACAAATAAGTGGAAACTTAGAGAAAATATATTAAAATTATGAGTTTTTTGAATAGTTTGTATAATTTTGAGATAACTCTTTGGCTGTACTGAGCTAAAGATTTATTAGCCATCTTAGAAAACAGTTTGAGGCCGGCCCCGTGGCTTAGCGGTTAAGTACACGCGCTCCGCTGCTGGCGGCCTGGGTTCGGATCCCAGGCGCGCACCGACGCACCGCTTCTCCGGCCATGCTGAGGCCACGTCCCACATACAGCAACTAGAAGGATGTGCAGCTATGACATACAACTATCTACTGGGGCTTTGGGGGAAAAATAAATAAATAAAATAAAAAAATTAAAAAAAAGAAAACAATTTGATTGTTTGATTTTGATTACATAGTGTAATTTTGGAACTATCTAACATTTACCTATAATCTTTTTTGAAAAGTGATCCATTGTGATGTTTATAGTGATACTGAACAAATTTTATATCTCACAGCTTTTTCCTAAGGTTGTTTTTTTTGTTTGTTTCTTTAGTCTTATTGGTTGTTAGTACAATTAAACTATGTTAAGAATTATAGAAACAAATATTACCATTTTTACAGAGCTCTGTAAATTTGTCTTTTGTATAGTTTTCCCAAAGTCTCTACTTGGTAATTGTTAGATATTTTTATATGGGTGACAGTGTTTTGTGGCTGGAGGGGTTAGAGGATGTTCAAGACTAATTATTGATTACGGGGGAGGTTTAAGCACTTTTTTCCAGAAAGATTTTAATATTCCACTGAGGTTGCTTCTTTCACTGTTTGCTAGACTTTTCTAATCCTCTGTTATTTCACATATCATGTAAATATGTCCCCCATTTGGATGATTCAACTGTCATAATACTTTTGATGGCAGATATCACTTATTTTCAAAAGTTCTCAATTTTGACTTTTTTAACATTTTGTCCATGAAACAAATTTTATAGCTATCGTATATGCTGTCAGGATTTCTAATATAGATTCAGATTTGTCTAAAATTGTTATCTGATTTGCATAACAATAGAATACTTCCATGAAAATTCTAGGAACTTTAGCCAGGGAAGGAAAAGTCAAAACTTTGTTTCTAATTAGTCTAATTTTGTACCTTCTTAGATCATAAAACAAATTTCTACAGACTAACATTTGTTTTTAAATACCATTCATGTTGATTGTATAAAGCCTACATACAATCAGAACAAATTAAAGCACCTTTATTTGGCAATAACCTTTTAAATGATCATATTCAAATAAAAGCAGCAAATGGATGAGACATCAGAGGACAAATTTAAAAACTTAACACTGCCTTAAAAAAATACACAACTCATGAATGTCAAGTGGTAATGATTCTGCAAAGTGGTCATAATAATGTAAAATCAGAAAAGCAAAACCAGCTTTCACAAAGATTAATTGAGCTGACTTTTCAGTGTCTTAAATAATATGTTCATGTCGAATTTTTTTGTTGCTTGTTTCTCCTTTTGAAATCTGAATTACAATACGTTGAAAATCTCTACAAAAAAAAGAATGCTAAAAGAAAATACATTTATAACTTAACATTATTCTAATCTTCAGCCCTACGTTTTTCAACTAGAATGAATTTTTAAGTACATTGTAATCAATGGCTTCTTAAAATCAAGAAATAAGGTGGTATTTAAAGATTGCCTTTTTGTACAAGTAGCCAGTGGAGTTATTTGCTCTTCGTCTGTGTACTGACTACCTACTACAATGTACCTAGCTTTGTATGGCCACTTAGGTGTGACTCAGAGGATATACTAACAATGATAATATGAATTTGCATTTTTTTTTTAATTTTTTTTTTTTTTCCCCCAAAGCCCCAGTAGAGAGTTGCATGTCACAGTTGCACACCCCTCCAGTTGCTGCATGTGGGACACGGCCCCAGCACGGCCAGAGAAGCGGTGCGTGGGTGCACACCCGGGATCCGAACCCGGGCTGCCAGCAGCGGAGCGCGTGCACCCAACCGCTAAGCCACAGGGCCGGCCCTGCATTTATTTTTTAAATAATTCACTTGAGCTTGGGGACATAACTCTTTGCCACAAATGTAATTAAGATTTTATGCATTTGTATATTATTTTTAGAGAGGATTCACAGAAGGGAAAATGACATATCTGTGTTCGAAATCTATCTTTTCAGCAGTTAATGAACAGTAAGAGGTTTCCAGAATTCATATTTAGATGCAAAATTTAAGTTATTTTTGTCTCTCCCCAACAAAAAATTAACTTATCTGGTGGTTTTAATATTTTTAACATGATTATGTTTTACCAGGTGATGTTATTGTAGACATCAATGGCAACTGTGTCCTTGGTCACACCCATGCAGATGTTGTCCAGATGTTTCAATTGGTACCTGTCAATCAGTATGTAAACCTCACTTTATGTCGTGGTTATCCACTTCCTGATGACAATGAAGATCCTGTTGTGGACATTGTTGCTGCTACTCCTGTCATTAATGGACAGTCATTAACCAAGGGAGAGACTTGCATGAATACTCAGGATTTTAAGTCAGGAGCAATGGTTCTGGACCAGAATGGAAAATCAGGACACACCTTGATCGGTGATCGTCTCAATGGACCATCAGATCTGAGTGAGCAGAGAGCATCCATGGCATCATCAGGCAGCTCCCAGCCTGAACTAGTGACTATCCCTCTGATTAAGGGCCCTAAAGGCTTTGGGTTTGCAATTGCTGACAGCCCAACTGGACAGAAGGTGAAAATGATATTGGATAGTCAGTGGTGTCAAGGCCTACAGAAAGGGGATATAATTAAGGAAATTTACCATCAAAATGTGCAGAATTTAACACATCTCCAAGTGGTAGAGGTGCTAAAGCAGTTTCCAGTAGGTGCAGATGTACCATTGCTTATCTTAAGAGGAGGTGAGTAAAACCACAACAAGGAAAAATCTTCATTGCTCATGCATTTATATCTGCTAATTGTCCTTCCTTACAGGTCAGAATATCTCTTTCCTAGCATACTTAACTGGTAGTTAGTGTGCATTTTCCTGAAGGTTCTGTCTGACTGCTTCCGTAAGCAATATCTTTTGCAGCAGTTATTTTGGTTATTAGTGGTTTCATTCGTGTCCATTATGGGTTTCTCTCCCTCTCTATTCTTTTTAAAATCTGATTTATGGCTTTAATGATTAGAGAGAGTCACTGCATTGTGCTACTTCAAATGAAATATATCCTCTTAATTGCATTTTCTCTGTCGATGACAATAATAGAAATTGACTCTTTCAACCAGTGGCGCTTCATGTGGATCTCTGTAATGTACCAAAGATGTTTTGAAAGAGCTAGCATCTCTGTGAATAAGCAAAATGATGTTGGATGGTGTGTGAACCTGTTCTGTAAAAGCAATCATGATAGCTTGTGCTCATAAAGCTTTTATCTTAAGCTTAAGTATCTGTTCGTAAATGTTAATTAAACCCCACGGTGCTTCATGTGAGAGAAATGTAATTTTTACTTTCCAAGGTCATCAGCTGACTTGAACTGCTCCCAGACATAAATCCAGTTCCAGGGACTAATCACAAAGTTGCATTTTAATGGGCTTCCTTAATTTTTGCCTATGAATGACTAGTATTTTAAAGAATAAAATTTAGCCCTTCGCACTTACCTTTCTGGCTGTTAGTTTTCATTTTTGAGGCAAATGAGCAGTTTAACTTCATTGGGACGTTTTTCATTATTCTCATTTCTTTGAACTATTTTTGTTTTTCTTTGGGTGATGTGGTAGAATGTGCTCCAAGTAAGGTGGAAATCCCTTCGTGAGTGCTGGCGAGTTATCCAGAATTCCAACCAAGAGAACAATAGGAGACTAGGGTTTGGGGTCAGAGGTTTAACGTTAGTTTCCTGCCTTGCTACCTTTTGGTTCTACAGTATAAGGAAGTAATGTTAATCTATTTGAGTCTTAGTCTAAAATAGTAGTAACATTTATGTTTTAGGATTGTCATAAAATGAAATTAGATAATATGTGCATAATGCCTGGCACATAGGAGGTGTTGGACATAGAATTTACTAGCCTACTAAAAGTTGAAGCTAGTTTTATCATGAACTTGAGCAGTATTTGTGATCTGGGAATGCTTCCTCTGTTTTTAAAATTTGGTTCATTTTTTTTAAGGTCCTCCTTCACCAACTAAAACTGCCAAAATGGTGAGTATACAGTGGTCCTCAAGTGCTTCTTCCCAACACAGCAAGCAAGATGCCGTGTTCCCCTCTGTAAGAGCAGCCCACTGTGGTGGTGATTCCAAATGGGAGAAGTCAGGAGGCTACTGCCCTGGGCTTGCCTCAGAAGCTCTAGGAAGCGTGTGAGTTAGAAAGACCTCCCTAGAGAGGAGAGGGCTTTCCTGGTTAGGTCTTTCTGTTACTGGAGGCCCATACTACCAATAATCCTGTTCTCTAAATAGTAAAATATGGACACACTGAAGTGCCTATTCAGGAGTCCTTTTACTTGCTTTGTGTTTCAAAGGAGCAAGGATAAGAAGTAGCTAAATGTTAGGGCAGATGGTAAACTGTTACATCTTCTCCTTGATGCCCAAAAAGAAGACATGGTAGCTTTGCATAATTTCATGGGGACTGTAAATACCCACATTTAGATAACCTTCTTACTTTTAGGACTATACAAGACTTTCTAGAGTAATTGTGGCTTTCTGTGCTCAATATGCTTGTATCAAAGCGGTAGGCTGTCAGACTTGATACTGTTTTCTTTGGCATTTTTCTGAATAACTGAAAAGCCTACTGAAGGACCCTTATAGAGAATAAGACCTAAAGAAGGGTTTACCATGCTATGAAGGAAACTGTGCTGGGTGCACATGTGTAGCTACTTATATATCTACAAGATATGGATATGGATATAAAGACAATTATGTATAAAATCCTAATTTAATTCTAGTTTGCTTGATTTGGAGTCTGTCATCTCACAATTGAAAGTTGGTGTTCCAACCATAAACCATAGGCTATTAAAAGAAGGATCATCAGATATAAGATGGATTCATTTTTTCTAGCCCACCAAATAGGATCCTCTGCAAATTTGCTGTTTTATGGGTCAAAAGGAAAGAAACACTCTACTTTTATGGCCTCTACCACTTAGGTCCAGTGTGAACAGAAGTTCTTTTTGCCTATTCAGTTAAAATTGCACTATATTTTTCTACGTTTCTGCTTCCTCTAGTGATCTTTTTTAACTCCTGGGCTACCGTATCTATTTTATAATGGATGCCAGTGCAGCCTGGTGACTCTAATACTTTATAACTGATGACCTCTCCCTGCCCTGACAGAATCCTATGACATGTGGGGAAAAGGGGAGGAGGCTACTCTTTTCTTCCTGACATCTGATTGGGTCAGTGAAAGGTCCCCTCTGTCACAACACTTTGCAGTGACTGTCCCCTCACTGCTCCCTGACAAGCTGATGCCCTTGCATTCTAGTTAGCATTAATTATTTTATCACAAATGTCTATAATCTCCCTGTTCTAACAATAATTCAGGATAACAAGCTGTTCTCAAAACCATATTTATTTTCTCAGGCTATGTATTAGATTTCATTTTAAAAGTTTTATTAAAGAAGTCATTTTGCTTGGCTATTTTTTGGGAAAGTTCTATCTGAATGGGAAAAAAATGAAAATATGCTCTCTGTTTTCTCTTATCTGATTGCCTGGCATGGTGCATTTTTCCTTAATGTATTTGAATCGGCCATGCAGGGTTTTCACAGCGTCATCTTTATAACCTAAATTAGAGTTAACGCTTCCTCTTCCATTCCCTTAGAAAGAGTATTATCTTCAGCATCTTCACAGGGAATTAAATTCAGTGAAGGGGGACGGGGTTTGTCAAGAATGTTATGAAGGTATTCTCTCAGCGTCTCCCTCGGAGGTGCTCGTGTCGTGTCCCTATTTATCTTCTTCTCAAAGTCAGTTTGTGTCTTGGGTGGAGAAAACAGCAAGATTGCTTAAACGTAGGACTAATTAAGACCCTTCAGTTGACACCATTGTAAACTTTTTCTAATTTAAATATGTTTTAACCAAATACATATGGCTATGAAAGTGAATTCCTATAAGACTGCGAATGTGCTGTGGCTTTGACCCTGCCACCTATACAACTATAATCAGTTGACTTATCTGGTTCGGACAACGGTTTTATGAACTAATCAACCATCTGGTTTTTTAAAATACTAAGTAAGGCTCTTTTCCATTTCAGAAAACAGATAAAAAGGAAAATTCAGGAAGTTTGGAGGCCATAAATGAGCCCATTCCCCAGCCTATGCCTTTTCCACCCAGCATTATTAGGTCAGGATCCCCGAAATTGGATCCTTCAGAGGTCTACCTGAAATCTAAGACTTTATATGAAGATAAACGTAAGTAGTTGTGGAATATTTCAGGAGAGCATGCAACAAAATAAATTTGAATTATTTTAAAAACTGAGACCTTCCCATCTTTCAAAACCATATTCAAAAGTTATTCCTTCATTCCAATTTTAATATGACTCTGGGCTTCTTCCATTTACATTCAACATTCATTCATTCATTCTTTTCAGAACCAGGTATTAAGTGCCTACTATCTACCCAACACCATAGTAGGTAATGGGAATACAGAGATAAATAGGTTACATAGGCCCTGCACCCAAAAAGATGATTAAACTTAAATGGAAAAGAGAAGTATATAATCGAATAACTATAAATAAGCCTAACAGGTGCAATAAGAGAAGGATGAACTGGATGGATTGAGATCCAAAGTAGAAAATGGTCAATTTTACCACCGTGGGTAGTGGGAAGTGTCAGATACTGCTTCATATAGGAAGTTAAGCTTTAACCAAGTCTTCAGAGACAAGGAGGTGTTTATGAGAGAGAGAAAAGGGAAAGAAAGAAGGAAAAACATTTGCACATTGACCTTGCATGGCCTGGGTTCTGCAAGTAGTTCATTTTGGCTGGGTGTGGTTGGCAAGGGAAGCCAGAGGGGAGAGCAGGAACAGGTTGTGGAGGGTGGATTATGCCATTCTGAGGAAGCTGGAGTCAGTGATATAAATGATAGAGAGCCACGGAATGGTTTTAACTATCGGGATGATATTATTGAACTTGGGTTTTGGAAAGATTTTCTGACAGGAGTATGAAGGATGATGAATCAGAGGGATGTGCAATTTGAGGAAAAGTGTGCAATCTGAGGAGAAAACCAAAGAGTAGACTCCTTAGAGGAGTCCAGCTGAGAGATGATGAGAAGAGAGTGCATAAGGCAGAAATTTATTTTCATATTAATTTACTTACTAAGGATAAACCTTTTCCAAAGTAAAATTGCAGATTTAAATTGGTTTAATTTTTTAAAATTGATTTGTTTTTAAGAAATAAATCTAAATCTACATTGGAAAAGATGTGCACAGGTGGAAATATTATATATAATTGACTTCATACTTATTTAACCAATGCAGGTCTTTATCTTGATAGTCCTAGGCCATATTTAGAAAGATGAAAAGCAGGTGTAAGCACAGCAAAGCAATAATTTAAATTAGTATGACTATGGAGAATCCCTTTCTTCAGACTTCCCAGTCATAGCCTGGTACATTCTTAGTATTGGCATAAACTATTCAGTCCCTTTGGGCCTCACTCATAATATAAATGAGTTGGACTCATCAGTCTTTTTATCTCTGAAGTTCTATGATTTTAATAGGAAATATTTCTCAAAAGAGATTGCTTCTAAGGAACATTATCAGGATTTACCCTATATGGTATCTCACCTTTTATATCGTTCCCTGACATGTTTCTCTCTTTTCCTTTTCTAGCAAATACTTCTTACTTGTAAATAATATTAATATTTTCTCAGAGATAAAATTTTAGTCATGAAGTAGATTTTTCTGATTTAATATTCTGATGAATGTGACCTGCCCTTTGGGAGCGAATGGTGTGGGTTAAGAGCCTGGACCCTGGAAATCAAGCTGGGTTGAAATCTCAGTTCTGCCATTTACTTGCTGTGTGACACTGGGCAAGTTGCTCAGTTTCCTCAGCTAGAAAATGAGGCTAATAATAGGTGTTAGCTCTTATTTATTTTCTTTTAAAATAATATCATTTTGCAAAATTAGGCTAAGTAAGCAGTTCATATGTAATGCTTTTCTGAGACAAAGATATGCTTAGAAGTAGAATTAAGGCATTTTATGAGCTCTCTTTTCCTAGGATTTGCCCAAGTGTTAATTTAGATAATTTGTACTTACCAAATATCAAACTTAAATTGGATAATTCTGAATTTAATTTTATAATATTGATTTGAAAGCTTTAGGAGTCAATGGCAGTGTAATATTGAGTTCATGGAAGTGGGGGTAAATATTCCTAAGCTATCTTGATACCAAGTTTTGTTTAGAGCTCAAAACAAAGATTTATGGTTGAATTTTTTTTTGTGGTGTCATGTTCTTGTGTAAATTGTCACATATCAAAAAGTTCTGAGGTTATAATTTATTGAACTCTATAATATTATTCTGCTAAATATTAAACTTTGTTTTATTTTAATCTTTTTAAAATAAATCAAAGTATTTATTTTATTTTTTTATATTTTCTGGTTTTCCTTAGCACCAAACACCAAAGATTTGGATGTTTTTCTTCGGAAACAGGAATCAGGGTTTGGCTTCAGAGTGCTAGGAGGAGATGGACCTGACCAATCTGTAAGTTCAAATAGTTTGGGATTTGGCTGTTTCTGTTAAAACTTTTAAGGGATGATTTGGTAGTAGTATATGGTGTTTTTGTTTTGTTTTCTGTTTGATTTTTTTAAGATTTTGTTTTCTCTAACATTTTCATTAAAATGAGGAAGAACTTATTAGTGTCATAGTCTATTTACCCCCATTAGTCTACACCAAGCTAACTTGGTGTAGCTGAGGCTAAAACTGTTAGGTAAAAACTGAATATATCAGCTGTAAATTGGACAGTAATTAATTAATTAATTAATCTATGTGCTTAAAGCTTATTTTAAATTTTTATTTCCCTTTGTCTTTGTTAAACAGATTTTAAGACATTCTCCTTCTGTAAGAAACCTATAATCCGAAGTCCAATTCCACAATCACTCTATCTTCTGACATGAGCCTGTGTGCATTATGTCACCTAATCTCATAAATGGGTTGAAATTTTCATGCTGAGTACTTTGCATGCCATTTCATCTGTTACCTATGAAACTAGAAGAATATAAAATAATTAATGTTTCTGTCTAGAAAGCATGAGAGTTATGTTTGGAAAGCATTTAAAATCTAGAATTTTATTTATACACAGTTCTCACACAAAGTGAGTTTAGAGAAGAAATATAGTGGGTTTTATTTTTACGTCGCCCTTAGTTTGAATGACAAAGAATTTTTAATTTTTTTTGTATAATATCAAGAAAGACTATATTACTGTCATGCTTGGAAGTTAGGTGAGTTAACAATAATCTTTTAAAATGACAGGCTTCTTTCTATTTCTGAATAGAACATTTGACTTATATAGTATTAATGTGCTCTAATTCATCATATTGGTTACAGTTAAAACAATCATCAGAGACAAGTAAAGCATAAGGCAGGTTGCCCTATATAGGGCAAATATAAGATGCCTTGATTGTTCTTGGTCGTAGATGTAGTTCTGTTTTACTGCTTCCTATTTTATTGATACTTGTAGTGTTCACTTAGACGTTGTAAGACTTTTTCTCAAACAACTTTGAAGAAACCTTTCTTTTCCCTTAAATGTCACATTTTAGCAATTCTGAAACTAGCCCAAATATTTAGGATTATGTAATTATAGGATTCTCATTGCTGGCAAGCAGAATGAACTAGATCTCTTCCCCTATTTGCAAGTGAATCTCAGGCCAGTCTGTTCCCCTGAAATATTTACTGCTTTGAGATTTAGAAACAAGAAATGTTTCTGTATTGTATATACTGGACTTGTACTGATAGCCATATGTGATGGGAGTATTGTAAGAATTATCTCAGTTGCTGTAAACAATGTGTGGAAAATCTCTCCTGATGGCATTCAATAGACTTTTTTTTACTTTTAGTAGCTACTCCACAGAATTGCATTTTCTGAGTTTAATTTTTTGTTTTGTTGTAGTGATGGAAGTGATGGTGGTACTTTTTAAGTTTTTGAACAACTTTGTATTGTCTGTCTTCTTTGTTCTCAACCCAGAGGATCTAGAACGGATTACATAATGTGGTTATTGGAAGTGCCGTTTTGGAGAATGGTCACTTTCTAAGATATCACCTTTCTAAAATATGACTGTTTTCATAGTTGAACTGCAAAAATCTGTTGGTTTGTACAGTGCTAAGTCAGGAAGTCCTTAACTTAGTAGTTAGAGATCTTACTAGATCTTAGTAGACTGTATAGACCAACCTACACTTTGTTACCTTGTCAGATATATATTGGGGCCATCATTCCTCTGGGTGCAGCTGAGAAAGATGGTCGGCTCCGGGCTGCTGATGAACTGATGTGCATTGATGGGATTCCTGTTAAAGGAAAATCACACAAACAAGTCTTAGACCTGATGACGACTGCTGCTCGAAATGGCCACGTGTTATTAACTGTCAGAAGAAAGATCTTCTATGGTGGTATGTGAACCTGTTCCTCCTCTGATAAGTTAAAAAAGAAACAAAGAGACTTAGAAACCATTTTCTTTGTGGTTTTGCAGGTTAGTTTATTATGTTTAATAGTGTGTGAGATAACCCATTTGGTGTGATCCCGGGCCTCACTGTGGAAGGCCATGTAACGTCAAAAAGGATCCAGAAATACTACTACTACTATCAAAGAAGAAGAAATAAATTTTGGGCCTCTATATTAAGCTTATATTAAAATATTGATGAATTTTGCCAATGTGGTATTGTAAATGGGAGTATCAGGTTAAATCTGTTTTCTTAAAAACAAATACAAAGTTATTTAATCATACCAAGATATCCCATTAGCTGAATATCAAAAGATTTTGGATCCTGATGAAATCCCAAATATTCAAAGAGGACAGAATATTTCTACTTGAGAAGTTTTAGTATAATTTAACATTTATTAAGTGCTTACTATGTCCCAGACATATGGATTCTTTTATTTGATCTTTACAAAACCATGATGTAAATACTGTCATTACCTAGTTTTACAATTACTCACAGAAGGGTTGAGAGACACACAACTGGTAAGTAGTAGAGCCAGGATTAAAACAGGCAGTTTAATCACAGAGCCCAGAGTCTAAACCATTATACTAGCATTTGAATATCTCTTACATTTTTCTCATCAATAGCTTTATGAATATTAAATAGGCATTTTTAGAAGTGAATTCTTGCCACTTTAAAATTTATTTATTTATTAATTTTTTTTCGGACTGGAATTTTTATTTATTTATTTTAATTTTTTATTTATTGCAGTAACATTGGTTTACAACATTGTATAAATTTCAGGTGTACATCATTATACTTCTATTTCTGCATAGATTACATCTTGTTCACCACCCAAATACTAATTACAACCCATCACCACAC